AATAATATATTATATAGCATTATATAAGATATTATATAGTAATATATATAATATTAAAAGTATGCATATTTATATTTAATTATACATATCAGCATTTATATACAATAATAAAAAAGATCATTAATTTAATAATATTATCCAAATATTTATGTTAACAATCGCAAATTTATTAATTGTTAATAATATCGTCATTCTTCAATCATTCGCCTCATTGATAATCACAAAAATTTACTCAAAATCGACCACCGTCTTTAATAGTTTCCCAGTCAGAAATGATAATGGGATCGAATCGACATCGAAAGCATCAAATCGACGTCGAATCAATGTCGATTTCATTATCATTTCTGACTGGAATCTCGTCGGTAATATTGATGTGTAGTTTACATCCACTTCTTCAGAGGGCAGTAATGTGCGGAGGCATTTTGTGATTACTGGAAAAGACTCCGTGTCCTTTCTCAAGTTCCTCTTTGGCGTTACATAAAGAAGGCTGAGATGATTGCTCTTAGATTTCTCTCTGCTTTTAGAGATTAAAGTGTACGGTTTAATATGCATTAGTGCGCACTACTGCGTCCAATCAAATTCTCACTATCTGTTCTCACTTTACACCGAGTGCGCGGAAGTTCAAATTACCGCGCTAACGGTATTAGTGTGTTGCCCTTGCGATATTTCGAGAATCGCAATATCGCTTCTCGATACAGTAATGGAAGACATCGCGGCGGTCGCGAAATCACATTCAATCTTCCGCATTTTTCACGGTCGTTACTAAAGTGATTCTCATGCGCGAGAAACAGTCAGAAGTGTCTTGTAAAGTGTCGATGATTACGCGAATATTATTATACAATCGTTATTAATAGATATCGCGAGTTTAGCATCAAATGCTTTTTTATGTGCCCCGTGGATTCTGTTAGGATGTCCATTCAGTAGTTTTGACTCTTTGGACCATCAGATTAAACTCGATTTGAAAGCTCTTACAGCATAGAAGTTCTAGACGCACGCCTAATTAAGAATCCGTCATTAACTATTATTTTTTCGTCGATGATGCAAATATGCGATTGATTCGCCAAGTGAATTCCGTACGAGTGTAACGGGTAAGTAGTAACGCGTTACTAGTCGTAGGATGGTATAATTAATTTGAGGTATAATCTGTTCATTAACTTTGTCTTAGAACAATTTAAATAATAATAAATTAATAATAGTACAGACCACACACATAATTCTTTAAGGGATTTAGGATATTAAACATCCTTAGGACATCTCTGACGTAGCTGCTTTACAAATTAGAAATGTTAAATTTTTATAGTTAGTGTAAATGATTATATTTAAAAAATTATATGCATGAGTGAGTCAATTCTGTTCAAATATGATACAGTAATTAACACACAGACAGTGATCATGATAATTATTGTTTTGAACGCATCATTCTCGTAATTAATGTAATTAAAATGTCTATATTTAATGTTATAATTATAAGATTATGACTTAATTGGAACATGCAATAAAATAATAATTCTGTCGATTAAAAACACAATTAATTACGATTAATGTTGCTTATAACAATCTTATCACGCTCGAATTACTTCAAACACTGAGAACATTCTGGAAAAAAATGAATACCAAGAATTTCGTGAAAAATATCAATGATAGAGTTTAGTAATTTAAAATCTATATTATTCGATCTAGAAATTGCATCAATAGTGAGTATAAGAATATTATTTCATTTGCGCGTACGACAAATGTGTCAGGACAAAGAGGTCCTCGGATCTCTTTATTTTGTAGCTAATCAAGATTTGAAAAATTTATCGTACGATAAAAACGCACAATGAAATCTAAGGCGCGCGTTTATTGCATTTAAAATTCTACGATTGTGGTTACTTTATTTCTCGTCGATATGCATAAAAAAATATCCTTATCCTTAGATATATATTCAACAGAAAGTTTATTTAATAAATTTATATATTTCTACTTGAAAGAAATTATACCGAGTATCCCTTTTTGACATACTATATTTTTGTGAGTAGATAGACTGGATTAAATTGAATCGAAAAGTTCCCTATCATTTTGCAATAGTTAACGAGATATTAATTTCTAAAAATTGTCGACCAAGCGGATAAAATCGACAACTTCAAGAGAATAAGATATATAATATAATAGCTTCAAGATATTTTTCAGAATTCTTTATGAAATTATTCTTAAAAATATTTCTTAAAGAATAACTCTCTTAAACTCTTAAAGAACTCTTAAAGAATTCTTAAAGATATCTCAAAGTTATTTTATGCGTCGCGTGATTTTAGACAATCTACTCATTGGATAACTAAAAAGAAATTGCGATAATTGCAAAATGGTAAAGAACTTTTCCACGCAAGTTTAGTCTACTTGTTTATAAACGATGTGTCAAAGTTTGGGGTACTCTGTATATGTATTGTGGAAAAAAGATATAATAATTGAATAATATAATTGAATCAGATTTTATAACAAGTGTATTAATGACGTTTATGTACAATGTTTACACGGCGATACAGAAAACATGTCCGCATGTTTACGAAGGTGTTATGATACAACAAATACTAGAAGTCATTTATACTATATATTAATACGGCAGTTATAATGAAGAAGTAGATATCAAAAGTAATTAAAAAAGCGTTAATATTATGAAACATAGACATAAAACAGCAACATCCTTATTTCCCATGGAAATATGTACAGCTATGCATTAAAGATTTTTCAGAAATTAACGTGCTAATATAAAATTATTTTATGAGTACATGTAAATTAAAAATATAACTCTCTACAATACTCTCCACAAATCTACATTGCACATTGCAGTAATATAAAGATTGATCAAAACTATCAATGTGACATGCAAGAAATTAAGAGAAAAAGAGTAGGAGAAATATTTTAGTCATTAACATAATATATTTTTCATTTACGCATCGTATCGACGTGCAACGAAAATTTGCGCAGTGAAAAAGACTTAATCTAATGGTTTTATGTAAATATTTTTCCGCATTTCTTACGAGATAGTCAGATTTATTAATAATTGTCATGGCTGTTGGCACGTTTTACTCTAGTCAATGTTTCTTAAGAGAGTCGAATCGTATTAGTTTAAATTAAATATACTTTACACCAATTTTAAATAGATTTTAGTAGTACTATGATTCGCATCTTCGTTATCGAATAACAATGTGCCTCGCAGATCTAGATATAAATGCAATGAGTTAAATTCTAATTAATTGAAATATTATTTATCTTATTAAAATTCTCACAAGCTACCGAGTACATACAAATATATAATATACACGTAAAAGTACAGAATGAAAACTGGCCGCCGGTAAAATGAGGATTAGATGTAATTAAGCTATTAAATTAATGCGCATCAAGTCGCCTATTTTAAGAATTGATGAAATTATCTCAATATATTATTGTCTTGAAATATTGTTCTTGAAATGCGACATCAGTCAATTATGATTATTTTGAAAGTTTTCGCAAGTGTATTGAGACTTGATTCTTAAAAAGTATCGCATACGAAAAACTAAAAAATCTATAATATACATAACGTGTATTATAGTATTTTTGTACACTTTCGTATGCGATACCTTTCAAGAATCCAGACTCTTGTTCGTTAGCAATCGATTTGTAAGATTGTAACTTCAAACTAGCCAAATAATTGATGAAATTTGATAAATCATACTTATATTTAATTAGCAAAAATTTCTTATCGAAGTAATTAGTAATAAATAGAAAAAAAATATTTAAAATACGCTAAGGAAAATATTTGTAAATAAAGCACCAAGGAGTATAAATCGGTTGACCGACTTCAAACGCGTTTACAAAACGGCGCGTTCTACATTCCGCAGTAATGTCTAATAAATTATCATTACGTAAATAATTGTCATCAGAAAAATCGATGATATGATTGTTGGTAACGTTTCATTGCATCCGACGATTAGTAATATTCTTCAAACGCACATTCCTACATCTTATACATAATCTCACATTCGCACGCGCATTCTCTTGTCAGTCGCAATACAATTACTGTCATTAGGACACGAATCGACACTTTCACGTTTCAAAGTCCGACTCTTGATCCCTTGGTTGACGCTGTTTGCTCTTCGTTTTCTTCGTCTTCGCCGCAATTTTCTTCTTCTTCGGCTTCGGCATGATCTCGCAGCTGCACCCACTTCGTACTCTGATGTAATCCAATGTCCATTCGGATCCGCTCACGGTGTTACCGGAAAACGCGGGAAAATGATGGCGTTCCCTATGGTGGTGCCTTCTGTGCTCCTCCGTTCCAGTCTGGAATTAAACAATAATTATCCTATATCCCTCGATAACTTTTATTTTCAAAAAATTATTATAAAAAGCAAGTGATTCTTATACATATACTTTAAAAAGTATTTAATATAAAGTTGCGTATTTAAACAAATTGCATAATTAATAAATATTATAATTAATTACTTGATGCGCCTAGTTTAGTTAATTGAAGAAAAGAAAAAATGTGCAGAACACGATTCGTCGTGTGTAGTAAAAGATTGAAAAATCATCGTGTATATTAAAGGTTACGAATAACATTTTTTTAAATAAAGGAGATTATATACTGTTCAATCTATGTGTTTAATCTAATGTGAGTCACCTGCTTACTAAATATATGAGCCTCACATTAAGTTAAATTTGACACTATAGACATTACACTATAGACATATTAACAGTGTATATTTTTTCTAATATTTTTCACGAGTCTTAATTTATTTGAAAAAACTTCGTGTAATGCTAGAAAATTTTTAAGTCCATAGTGTGTATTAAGGATTCAACATTAAGAATTAATGTTGAATTCGTGATTATACCTTCGATCCAGGACTCTTGATGATAGCGTACGTATACGAATGCTTTTGTACGCATATGGACCGGTTGCTGAATTTCCGATCGACGAATCTGCACGGCTTGCCGACAACGTCTAGCCTGCAGGAGTACTCGAAGAATCTCTGGACGTTCTCGCCATCTCGATAGAGCTCGACGTACATGTCTTCTCGAGTTCGACCGCCAAACGGTTCTACCATTTCCTCTATCGTAGGACAGCAATCGACCGGGCGGCCGTCCTCGCCTTCTTGACGCAGTATCATCTGCATCTCTCGATATGTCATCCGCTTGTTCGTCGACTCCTCTAGTGGTTCTGCCCTGCGAATTGCAACGGCAACATTTCTCCTGTTTAATCAATTCTTGTATTTATAATCGACATTGTTTCCTAATCAAAACATAATTTCTCTCGATCAATGTTCTTTAAGAGTGCAAGCGGATGTTATTTACGGAACTTTCGGATTAAATTCTAATCGCGTAATCACGCGTACGATCGTCGTGTTAACAGGAGACTTAATGGGAAATATATGTAGAAAAAATAATAAAAGCACGTTTCGGCTACACCGCAGCGTGCCCTGTTGAATTTAAATCGAATTCTTACCACCGAAAGAAACGCTGATATTATTCCTCCCATGCCAAGCGCGCTAATAGCTTGTATCTAAATTACGCGATAGAATGTTGTAGCGGTTTAAAAAAAATTTCATGGAACATGATATTTTACTTCGTTTCGTATATATTATTAACATTTTATACACCAGCAATAATAATTAAGATAGCGAATTTCGCGTGCGATTGATAAAATAAATATCCAAATGTAATGCACACCGCGTTTCAATAAATCATTCGCAAATATTGTTATAAATGAACCGTGAATATCGAAAACAACATACAAATGGATAATATACAAATGGATAAATGTATATTTTAATAGAGAGTTAAAAACTCCGAACTAAACTATTAAAAAGAAATTTATTTTAATTTATTTTAATTAGATCGAACAACTCGGTAATATTTTCTCGTTTTATTTTTTCATCACATTTTGTCCGAAAATTTTTACTCACCAACGAGAAATATGTCCTCTGAAAGGCTCTTCCCTGGGCCTTCGAGAGGAGGAGGATAAAGTCAGATTGTTGGCGGCAGTAAGCCGCGGGCACAGGACTGCGGTCAGCCAAACCACCTGCAACGAAAATCATGAGAATGCTTACATTATTTGTTCGCGTGCCTAATAAAATTTTCCTTCATCGAATTTATGCAAATTGAAAACATAAATATTAATATTTATCGAAAAAAAAAACAGCTTTTGCTAAAGTACCTAAAAATTTAGTTAGATACAGATCTAAAAATACTTTTATTTGGACAATTAAAATAACTATATAAGACATTTAAATTGATTACTTAATTAAATTGATTACTTAAATTGAAAATGTTAAAACTTTTTATAATATTGCCATCAACATTTAAACTACATAAATATATCGATAGTCCAACAAAATTATTTTTAGAACTGTATCTATATAAATTTTTAGATACTTCAGAATTGTTCTTTTTTTCTTTAATATATATATATATAACTTTATAATTACTTGATTACTATCTAATATTGTACAAAGAATTATTACATTTTTGTATAACAGTGTAAAAAATGGTGCATTTATATTTGCGTTTGATAGCGATTGAAATAGATTTCTATCGCAACAGGTACTGCATGTCTTAGCGCTACGAGCGTGATATTTTGACGCGGCGCGATGTAAACAATTCTGTCATATCTGAGACGGATATAGAACAGAGACTAATGTGCATGACCTTACAATAAATTTCACGAATTGTCAGATTAGAATTGCGTCAATAATAATATCGCGGTGAAGAATCGCGCGTGAGAAAATGCTGGACAGGAGATTGGTACGAACGTGCAATAAAGCATGGGGTTAGTCACGCATCGTCCGAATCCGCGGCACATGTGAGCCGGTGAGCGAGCGCGGTATACGTGTAAGCTTACGTGAAGGTGAAAACATTAATTCGGCTTATAATTTTTATGCAAAACAGGCCTCACGGCGCCGCCGCCGCCGCCGCCGCTGCCGCTGCCGCTGCCGCTTACTGCTTGTTAATACGAGTGTGCCTCTCGCAGTACACCACACCACTTTCGATTTAATTGCGCCGTATAACTCGTCACCACACACAAAACATGCGGAACTTGCTTGCTTCATTCACCGGAATAAATCTAAATCTCTTTTTTTCCAAAAAATCCTCGAGATAAGCATAAAATGTAATATTTATTGTTTATATTACTCCCACGAAAAAAGTGGTATTCGTATAAAGAAATGATCCTAAAGGAGATATAAATATATCGCAAATAAATTCTGTGGTTAAATTTAAGAAAACAAAGTATTGTGTTATTATGGATTAGATTCTAATTTATAATAATAGAGAGAGCATTATTATCGACGACACTTATCTTTCATAATTACGAAACGCTATCGAAGGGTCAAACGACTGCTTCTCGGTGCGAGGCCTATGTGAACGAGACAACGCGATATAGCCGACGTTTAATTAAGCCATCGTTCGTCCGAGTGAACGGTTAACTAAGCAGCGACGCCTTCTATACGAGGAACTCATCGTATTGGGCAGAAGACCGCACGTTGAGATTAAAAGGATATTCATATACGCGAGACCACACATCGCGCTCTCCGCGATCTTTATCGGATTCTTGCATCAGCCGAACGAGGAAGGAATTCTCTCACTAGCAACGCGATTTTAATCGTATAGAGATGTAGTCGGTGGCAGACATTGCGGCATAACTTAATGACACTTAGCGTTAATTACTCGCTAAATCGAAATATCAAACGATTATTATTGCTCCATTGCGACCAAATTGCGCGATTGTGTATGCGAACGCCATTGAGAGAGAGAGAGAGAGAGAGAGAGAGAGAGAGAGAGAGAGTCGAGTTATTAATATTGTACTAAAATTGGATAAATAATTGGTACGTGTAATAAAATGTATGTAAACATACGATGAAATTATCTCTCACACACAAACGCGAAGATTTCACGGCAACGCTCCTAAAGAAACGTTAAGTTAAGCCTCGCGGTTGTGCCCGGGCCAAGAAAACGTCAATTAGCGCCCGCGAATTCTTCTCTCCCTTTCCTTTTGCGATAATGAAACAGCCGGAACGATGCCCGAGAGAAGCACTTTTGCGAAAGTTGAAATTAGCCGGTCGTTTCTTGGGACTCAAGAGAGCACGAGATAATTTCAGATATATTTCGACGGGCCGAACACGCTTTCGTAATCCCGTTCACTCCAACCCCGTCTGTTCCAATCATCGTTCATTTTAGCAATTTTTAACTAGTGACAGTCTGACACTTCATCACTACCCGCCCTGATCATTATCAATCCTTGGTGGATAAAGATTTACCGCTGTGGCTGTCCGCGCCGTATAAGAGCCGCGTAAGCTACGGCACATGGATTGCAAACTCGTTTATGAATATTGCATCACATATATACAGAAGATTTGTATATTAATCGTCAGAAAGTACGGTTTTAATATTGTAATTGCATTACAAGTCGCCATGTGACAGTAAAATTAAGTGAGAATGACGTTTTTATGACTTCTTTACATTCTGCGAATCCCTTACTTTCCCTTACTTTTAAATGTAATTTATGTACATTTTAATTCTTCCTTTTATGTTCCAAATTGACCAGATATATTTCTTATATAAACAGGACTGTCATAAAATTGGGAATTAAGAAAATCACGGAATTATCAGGGAAATTGAAAAATAGGAAATTGAAATTAGGGATTTTGCAAACTTTCTGAAAAAATTAAAATTCTTGTTTTTAGAAAAGTTTAATATTTTTTAACAGTTTTGGGATACTATCACTTAACAATTAAAAATGTAAACAGTATCAGCAATAGTAATTAACGCACTCGTTGAAAAAAATTTACTGTATAAATATATTAATAAATATTTCTTTGAATATTTGTAAGTAAACATTTACTGAATGTTAACATATATTTGTTTGATACAACAATCATTAATTTGATTTAGCTCTTTTTTTTCATCAAATAAATATTCAGATACTATAAATAAATATTTACATACACATTACAAATAAATAATTAAAAAAAAAAATTTAAGATATAGTAAATTTTTTTCAGTTATTATGTTAAATTAATCTCTTAACAAAATATTTAAAATTCTAAAAAAAAAAAAGGACAAAAATATAAAAAATTTTTTAATATTTTTCAAAATTAGAGAAAAATAAAAAATTTTATTATATCTATATTTTTTATATGTGGAAATCAAAGGAAAGTTATGGAATGAAGAACGAAGAATTTGTGACAACTGATTTATTTATTATTTTATATCTCGATTAGTAACAATTACTAATAAAATTCTTCCTTCTCATTATTTATACGATTTTTAAAATATCTAGTAAATACATTTTCAGAAAAAGTTAATCATATAATTGATAGAAATGCGTCACATGTATATCAGTGTAATTAATTACAATCATATTAATTATATATTGATACCATGCTAATAATACTAATTATATTAATGACAGTAATGACATCTAATTTCAAAAGTTACTTAAAACTTATTCGAAGCGATAAAGTAACATTTATTTTTTCCCTCTCTTATCCCGGTTATCTTCGCTGTACGATGTATCTTAACGGAAGAGGAAATACTGTCTCTGCCACGTGGAAGCGGCGGAAAATAATTTGTGACGCAATTAGAGTCCCATAACGCATTGACGATGACGTTACATACCGGCGATCGGATCCACCGGGGGCCGACTAGTTCTCCGTATCTCATGCCTCCTGGAATGCACTCGAGGCCCTGCGATATACCTATACCTATCCTGGCTATACCGATAAAGTTCGAAGAACCCCGAGAAGACCGGTATTGTAAGAACGCTTATCAGCTGACGTGTTTATGCCCCCGCGCGCGCCACGTGGATCGTATTTGTGCTCGTTCTGAATCCTATTCTTTCTTCCTGTCGCAAGTCATCAATCCGAAAAATCAATGACAATCGATCTTTTGTACGCATGCAAACTCATCAGTGATTATCATTAGGAAATTAGTTATCCCGAAATGTGTTAGAAGTCTTTGACCTGATTTTTCATTTGGTTAACTTATGATTAGGCTTAACCTGATGATAATGTAAAAGTTATATTTTTTTATCCAAGATTAATTACTAAACTGATAGTTTTGTAGTGAATAACTTTTAAAGTTATCACTAAAAAATCATTAGTAATTTAACAAGTTGTAATAATTAATTATAGCTAGAAAATTACAATTTTAACATTATCAAGTGAGGTTATATCTAAATCACAAGTTAATGATGAAAAATCAAGTCTATAAGACTCTTGGAAGAGAAGAATGTGTCGAAAGAACACGAAATGATTGTCCGCGTTTAGCAGAATGTTTTTATGTAACTATTGGAAATATTTTTCGCTGAGATAAAATTATTTCTCTAGACAAAAAAATCTTACTGAAGTATCGAAAAATTTAGCTTGATATATTTAGCTGAATTTTTATATAGACATAAATTTGATAATAATTTTATAGGACATTGAAACTGATTATTAGAATGTTAAAACTTTATGCGACATTGCTTAAGTTTAATACATAATTATTTTGATGATTCAACAAAATTATTTCAGATCTTTATCTATCGAAAAATTTTAGATATTTCAGAAAAATTGTTCTTTCCAAATATAAAAATATAATTCAATCAATGCGAAGAAAACTTATAATAGTAGCAAAATAAATATTTTGCTGAATGAAATCATTGAGTTAACAGAGAATTTTAATCTTCAACTTCAGAGATGAGATTTGAAAAAATTTTATTCATGTTTATGTTCAACTTTTATATTTTTGACCTCTTTGTCTAGTACATTTAAAAAGAGACTTTCTCCTATGATTCAGACACATTCATCGTCCATGATTACTATTAATTCCCGCAACGAAACGCAAATAAACGTTTAATTAAAATTCTAACATTTGTGTCAAGTCTCAATAGCGTAATCGGCTTGCGTTATTTATTACCACTGTCAAGACCAGCGGCGAGATTTACAGGGTACACCGAGAGATCTAAGCAAAGGTTATTATATTTAAAAGGCATACATGCCTAGAAATACGAGGTCACCGAATCGTAAAATACGCATTCGCAAA